CGGGCGCGCAGGCTGATGTCCGCCTGAAAGAGAACTGTGCCCTGCATGTCCGCGCTGATGCCCTTCGTGGCTGCGAACCGTGTGAGGGTGTCTCCGTTGATCACCCGAAGAAGGGTGGCAAGGCTTTCCTGGATCTGGGCCAGGCTGAGGGGGGGACGGTAGGTGTCCACAATGAGCATCTGATGCTGGGAGTCCCATCGCTGGAAATTCCAGTTGCTCGACGTGTCGATCCACGAGGCGCGATTGGCGTAGGCCAGCTGCTCCTGCGAGAGATGGGACAGCTTCTCCTTCAAGGTCGTGAAGATGCCCCAGAGAAGGGTCACCCTGAGGCTGATATGATCTGCCTGAATCTCCTGCTTCTCCGCAACCTCGCGCCATTTGCTCGCCAGATCGACCAACGTGGGCAGAATCGAGTGGTCCCCCGATCGGATCCAGAAGACCCATCCGGTGGAGCGACGAAGGACATTCAAAGTGTCCTCGTGACGGACAATTGCCCGAGCTACGAGATGGAGCAGTTCGGCATCCTCCCCATCCGTGGTGGAACCACTGAGAAAGCTGGAGTTGCCGCTGTCGCTCTGCGGGCGCCCGTTCTGGTTCTTGCCCGGACGACGACGCCCGCCCTTGCCCTGAAAGCCCTTGCCCTGTCCGCCCAAGGCAACTGAGCCTCGGCCGACTTTCGGAAGGCGGTCCTGGGGTGCGCCTGTCGGCTTCTCGTCCGTTCCCCTCTTCCCCGCTGCCACGAGCACGCTGCCGAAGCTCTCCTGGAGTTGGCCCAGTATCTGCATGGAGGCGTCCGCCGCTTGGGTGGATCCCGGGGTGACCGTCATCGTCAACGAGCAAACTAAAGAAGCAACACTGCCACAGACTAACACAGTGTGCTAAGTGCTGCGTGGGATGTCTATGTGAGCGTTCACAATAGAGACATGGATTGAAAGCAACTCCTATCCTGGGCCCCTGCCGGGAAGCGCGAGCAGCATGACGCAAGAACAGCTGAGAGTGCAGATCCCGGAAGTGATTCTTAAGAGCAGTGGGAGTGGCCAGCCATTGACCACAGAGCCCGCAGATATGCAGCAAAGTGGTTTTCACAGGATGTCTGAGCAGGGCTGATAAGCCTCTAGCGCGAAGCGTGCTAGTCAGTGTCTCATAAACTGCGGGCGGAGGCAAAATTGTCCCAGCCATGCTCGTGTGATCTGGCAGGCTTTGCGGAACAGCAACGTCTTCCCTCTCCGATTCCGTGCCCTTCTGAGGGGCCGGCCCTCTGGACACTGAAACCTGAGACGCTGGCGACTGTGCGACAGCGGCTACGAGCTGAGTAGGGATGACCGTGGGAGTGGGTGGTGGTGTTCCAGCAGGGGTGGAAGGTAGTGCAGGTGTCGACTCAGTTAAGGCCGCGGTGTGCGTTGGGGGGAGTGGCATGGCTGGACAACTCCAAGAGCTGATGTGTTTAGCCAGGACTTCCCATCTAGTAAATGCATGACGACACAAGGCACAAGTAGGTACACCGTCCACGGAGTGTCGAGCGCGGTCAAAGGGGTGCTTTGGGACCTGGGTCTTATGAACCCTAGCCATATGCAATTTAAGAGTTTTGCGGTCAGGACAACATTTTTGACAGATCGGGCAGTTAAAGGAAGTCGGGATCGCGTCACGGACAGCGGATGCCGAGACATCCGTGTCCTTCAGGGACGCAACCTGCAGGTCTTGTGCCTCCTGATCTGGAAGGGTGGGTACCGACGAGGCTAGGGGACCAGGTACCCTAGTGACAGTTGAGTGTTCAGTCGGATGTGTAAGTGGAGGTGTCGACGGTGGGACAGCATCAGACTGAGGCGGGGATTCAGGACAGATGGAAGACGGAGCAATAGCAGGAGCAGATACCGACATGAGACGGCTGGCAAGATGTAAGTTCCAGTCGTGGTCGTATGGGAGAACATGAGGATCATCCGGCTCCTGGCGTCCAAACGCCGACTCAAAAGTTTTCCTGAGGGCATCCCGGGGGGGGTGGAACGTGTACCCTCACCAGCAAGTCGATGTCTGACTCATGCGTGATATGGGCTGGGCACCTGGCGATTCCCCGTAGATGCTTCAAGACCAAAGTCTGCACCTGGGCATGTTGTTCGTCTGACAAGCCGCATACCTCCAAGCCATACGCCAAGCATGGCCACACAGTGGCCCGCCAGAGTCTGATCCTGTGCGTGATGGTGAGAGTACGGTGAGCATGTAAAACACATCTAAGCCTGGAGTGCGTCGCTTTAGCCAACAAGGTACGGCGACGCAGAGTGGCAGAAGCGTGGGAGTCATATGTGGTAACTGCTCCTAGGTAGTCCGCCTGTCGTACGAGCGGAAGAAATTCGTCGCCTTGTTTGGTGTGTATTCGAAAGAGCCTGCCGTCTTCACTGGTGCGTACAAGCTTCTTGACTGCAGTGCTGCGTTTGGTGCCTTCAATCGTGATGATTGCTTTCGCCTTGGTGGCGTGGACGCTCATGCCATGGCTCCGTAATGTAGACATGATATAGCCTATCCGTGAGCTGAGCGTTTCAAGCTCATGGTAGCTGTGAAAGCACTGGCCAATGTGGAAGTCGTCGGCAAACATGGTTAAACATCGTTCCACCCATTCAGTTGTAAGGCGTGAGCTAAGTCGTCGCGTGACGAGTGTCATGAAAGCCGCGAAGAGCAGGGGACTGGCGGGACAGCCCTGCTTGACTCCCCTGTTGGTGGGGATGCTTGTATGCTGCTGGTCAATGTAGAGATCATACGTGCATTGGTGCAACCAGTTCAATAGGAGTTCGGCCGGAGCCCCTGTGATACCCGCCTCGTGCAGAGCCTCAGCTATAAGATGTCGTGGTACATAGTCAAATGCTGATGTAAGGTCCAAGCAGACCTGAAGTCCGCCTTGTAGAGACGGTGAGCGACCTCCGGCACGTTTGAAGTGAGGGTCTCGCGTGCTGGGACTGCGGAGGGCACGAGCGTCGTGGTTATGGAGAAAGACTCGTCTTAATGCATCGGACGTCGATCTGCCCGTCACATAAGCAAATTGTGGTGTGGTACGGACGTATGTTTCCAGGTCAAAGCGCAGCTTAGATAGCAACATAGAGATCGACGCTTTTCCAAGGGCGTCAAGGAGACCAATAGGTCTAAAGTCTTTCGGCGAGGATCCCGTTTTATGTGGCTTCAACAACAGAGAGAGTGTGGCCTTGGCCCAGTTGTCTGGCGGCTGAAGTGGCGCCTGGCTCCAACGCTGAGTTAGGATCTTGGCAAGCGGAGTAGCGACCAGATCTGAACACATGCACCATACCGCACCGGGGGCTGTGTGAGGAGCTCCGGCCTTGCGAGCCGGAAGCTTGTCCAGAAAAACTTGCAGCTCTCGGCTGTCGACGGGGAGAGAGCTGTCCTCCGCATGTAGTTCTGGGGGAGTCGGTAGTTGTGTGTTGTCACCATTGAAGACCTGCGTAAAGTGTTTGCGCATGGTGTCTAGTTCCTCCTCTGGTGTCAGTATGGACCCACCTCGGCTGAGCTGAAATTTACGATACCTGCCCTTAGGAGCCAACTTGTCCACTAACTGATAGAAAAGGCGACTGGACCCCGAACTAATAGCTTGATCAGCCTGCATTAAGAGGTTGGCTCGGCGTGCACGGCGAAGTTCCTTACCCTGGCGCTGAGCCATGCGGTGCATGCGCGCAAACTGGACACTATGACGCCAGCACTGGAACAGGGCCTGAGCACGCTGATACGCAGCAGGCCGAGACGCCCACCTGCGCAGCTTGCGAAGGTGGCCCCCCATGAGGGATGCATATTGTTGCAGAGTACCATCCTGCCATGGACGTTGCTCCCTGACGGGTGCTTTCTTCGGAAAGTGTTTGATGGCAAGAGAACGCACAGTGTCATGAAGAGCCACTAAGTCGTGGCTAATGGAATCCAGTTGAGTTTGCAAGTCTCTCCGAAAATCCTGAACCCTGGGGTCGGCCTTGCCTGCCAGTGCGTCGGCAATGGCGTGACGGTCAATCGCTTTGGTGACTGTGTCCTGTGGGCTCTGAGACCAGGGCCGCCAAATGACGGGGACACCGGCATGAACAGGAAAATGGCGAGCTCCCCCCCGCCAACAGCCAAGGGGATGATCATGCTTGGCATGGGATTGACGCGAGTGGCCATCCGCTAGGTCACGTTTGATCATGATGAAGTCTATGTGTGAACGCTGCGTTCCCCAGCAATAAGTGTGGGGTGGGTGACTGGATTGGAAAGTGTTCAATACACACAGATCGAGGCCAAGGACCATGGCCTGAAGATC